TTTGTTCCCTTGTTTTGTCATGTTGTTTGTGTGTCTTCCCATTAGCGGTATGGATCTAAGGCCCTACAGTTTCTACCCTGTAGTTTTATAGTGTCCCTGAATGCTTCCAGTACCTCATCTTTAAGTGGGAGATCAGTATTAACAGCACCCAATGCAAATAATATACAATCTTAAACCACATAGCTCCTATTAAGGCATCTACAGTTTTGTCACAATAAACAGAAATGATGTGTTCAATTATTGTCTACAATATTGACGATAAGTTTGCTAAAAGGGTTTAGAATGATGGAAAAAAAAGGAACAGATAGTATAGGATGTGATGTTTATGAGGAACAAGGACAAAAGATAGAGTTAAAAAATTATAGAAAGAGCAAGGGAGGAATTAATAGAGGTTGGCTGTTAACATGAGAGAAATGAGAAAGAGAATCCAGGGAGACAGATAAGTGAGATAAAAAATATATACAGATTAAAAAAAAGCAAAAATATAAGAATACAAAATAAAGCTGTAATATACTATTCAGACATCCCATTCCTCAATAAATTTATGCAAGAAAAATATTTGGATTTCAAGGTGGTAGAGATGTGGGGGTGGTCTCTATGGAAAATTCATCGATTGCTTTCATTGGCTTTCAAACATTTTCTCCGTTTCCTTTCTCTGCTGATAAGGTGGGGTTGTCTGAAGTTTGATGATAGCTCTAGTCCAGTGGGTGCTGGACGATTGGCTGGGTGAGCCAATAGCAAGATGCCCTCACACCCTTTTCCAGTCTTTCCACTTATTATAGCTGGCCTCTTCTGTCCCCGCACTTCAGGACTCACTGAGCTGGAGAGAGCCCAGTTTTCCAACCTGTTCTCTGCCCAGGGAACTGCCCTTGGTCTCTGGCTTTGCACAGGTTTTCCAGGCCCAGACTTGCCCATGCAGACCCAGCTGTAATCTGATCTGGGCTCTAGATTGCCCAGGCTCTTACTTGTTGCACTCCCAAGATCTCAATGCTGTTTCAGCTCGGAGAGAAACCACCAGGGATGTGCTTACACAAAGGTACAACACTGCAAAGAGGCAGCTAGATGGCGGCCACTAGCACACCCAGCAGAAAGACCTCAGGTGCAATCAGACCTCTAGGTACCCCGACATTATATCTCCAGGCCCTAACTAGTGTCCCCAGACAGAGGCTGCTGCACCCTGATATGATTGCGGTGGTGGAAGCAAACCTGCAGGTCACTTGACTCTCATCCCAGACCCTGGCTGGTGTCCTAAGATGGCGGCAGCCACATGTAACCAAACCTGCGAGTACCCTGACAATGGATTTCCAGGCAGCAGTGGGTGAACTGCAGGTGGTCTTCAGGCAGTTGTCCGGCTATCAGCAGGTGGACATCGGGCAATGGGTGATGGGCTGGCAAAAGGCGCCAGGCAAACAGGAAAACGGTGGGCGGTCAATGGTGGCCAGCGAGCGATCTCAAAAAAGTTTTCTTTTGACAAATGAACATGAGAATGTCTGTCTATCCTTGATTTCCACTGGGGATGTTGTTGGGTCATTGTGTATTACTGAAGGTGAACCATGCTTTGTTTACTGGAATGCTCCATCAGCTTTAAGTATACAGAAGTTAGTAAATGCAGATTCACTGCCCATAATAACCTGGAATTACTGAAGGAAGACAATAAGTAGAAGAGACTTCATTCTCTAGAATGCTAAAGAAAGTCTACTGAAAAACCCTATTAGGGGTTACAGAGGATGGGAGACAAATATAGCTCAAACTGTACATAAAACTAGTGTATGTTCATGAATAGATAGATATCATGCTTTACCTTTTATTTCATTTTGCCTTGACTGTTGATAACTCAGCAATGATGTGTTCTTCTATGTTATTGAAACCTGAATATCAATTTGTCCTATTACATCTGATTTAACAAGATTCAGAAACTGTGGCTCTTACTTTATTTCCTATACTTAAATGTGTGTATCTCAATAGTATTTATTTTTTTAAGTAGATGAATATAGTATCTTTATTTTATTTTATTTTTTATGTGGTACTGAGGAATGGAACCTAGTGCTAGACAAGTGCTGTGCCCCTGAGCTACAATCCCAGTCCAATAGTGTATTAAAAAATTATTTTTTATTTTATTTATATATCTTTATGTGGAGCTGAGGATTAAACCCAGGGCCCTCACACGTGCTAGAGCAATAGGTATATATTTGAAATGATCAAAAAGGAATGTTGTTGCTATTTGCTATTTTAATAAAATACTTAAATCCCTTAAAAATAAATTCTGTTTATGTTTGAAAATGAGATTGTACTATGACTCATTTCTCATTGTCTGATTTGGTATGAGTGTTAAGTTAGTCTTATAAAATGAATGGGTATCTTTCAGCATTGTTTTCTAGTTTTCAGTGTACAAATCTTGTACATCTTTGATTAAACGTATTCCTGAGTATTGTTTTTATTTTTATTGGATTTTCTTGGACAGTATCACGAATATGAATGGGATTTGCTTTTTAATTTTTTTTAGGTTTTATTGTTAATGGTTTCTTGTGTTATTATTTTGTATCTTTTCACTTGCTGAATTTGCTTATTAGCTCTGTCAATTTTTTCTTTTTAATCTATACGGCTTTTGGGGGATAAAATCTTATTATCTCTTAAAAGAGATAGTTTTACTTCTTCCTTTCCAGTTTATCTGGAAAGTAGTTTGATTTTTTCACCCATTTGAAATGTGGTTGGAGAATATAATTTTTGTGAAACTAATCCTTTAATATGTGTTACTCATTCCTTTGATTTTACTTTATAATTTGTTTTTATCACCTATAGTCTATGTATATTTTTAAAATAACATTGTTTAGTTTTGCTTAATTTTGAATTTTATATTAGTGGGATGGTTTATTGTTCTGGTATTTGCTTTTCTGTTCTGCTGTAGACTAAATTGTGTCAACCCACAATGTTGGAGTTCCAACCCTGATGTAATGGTAGTCAGAAATGGACTTTTCTGTAAATGAATAGATTAACTGAGATCATGATGTGGGACCCTCTTTGTGGCATTAGTTCCCTTATAAGAAGTAGTACTGGAGAGCTTGCTTTTTCTATTCTCCTTGCTATATGAGGACACAGTGAGAATGTGGTCAATTATAAGATAGCAGAAGAGCACTTCTTTACAAATGACCATGCTGGCACCTTGGTCTTGGACTGATAGCTTCCCGAATCTTGTAAGAATATAAATATTGTTATATAAGCCATCCAGTCTGTGGTATTTTGTCATGGAGGATTAAGCTAAAACTTTCTTTACCATATTAAGTTTTTAAGAATCATTCATATATAAGGATATAATTTATAAGATCTTATTATGTCATTATTTATCTGTTCTGCAAATGGTGGACGTTTGAATTGTTTTCAGCTTTTTTGGTGTTGTTACAAACATTGCTTTTATTAATAGTCTATGTATCTCCTGGTGCATGGGTTAAGAATTTATTAGAGTTTTGTGCATGGTGAGAGAGGTTTAATTTCATTTTGTTGTATATGGATTACCAGTTTTCCCAGCACCATTTGTTGAAGAGGCTATCTTTTCTCTAATGCATGTTTTTAGTACATTTGTCTAATATAAGATAATTATAATTTTGTGGGTTAGTCTCAGTGTCCTCTCTTCTGTATCATTGGTCTACCAGTCTAGTTGGTGCCAATATCATGCTGTTTTTGTTACTGTTGCTCTATAGTATAGTTTAAGGTCTGGTATAGTGATGCCACCTGTTTCACTCCTTCTGCTAAGGATTGCTTTAGCTATTCTGGGTCTCTTATTTTTCCAGATGAATTTCATGATTGTTTTTTCTACTTCTATGAGGAATGCCATTGGGATTTTGATCAGAATTGCCTTAAATCTGCATAGTGCTTTTGGAAACATGGTCATTTTGATAATATTAATTCTGCCTATCCAAGAGCAAGGTATATCTTTCCATCTTTTAAGGTCTTCTTTGATTTCTTTCTTTAGAGTTCTATAGTTTCCATTGTATAGATCTTTCACCTCTTTTGTTTTGATTCCCAAGTTTTTTTTTTTTTAAGGTTATTGTAAATGTGATAGCTTTCCTCATTTCCCTGACAGAGGATTTGTCACTGATGTGCAGAAATGTCTTTGATTTATGGGTGTTGATTTTATATCCTGCTACTTTGCTGAATTCATTTACTAGTTGTAGAAGTTTTCTGATGGAACTTTTTGGGTCTTCTAAGTATAGAATCATATCATCAGCAAAAAGTAGGCCTAATTTTCATCATGTCAGATTAGGTCCCAACTTCCTTAATAAGACTCCTATAGTGCGAGACTTAAAATCAAGTATCAGTAAATGGAGTGGACTCAAACTAAAAAGTTTCTTCTCAGCAAAAGAAACAATCTGTGAGGTGAATAGAGAGCCTACATCTTGGGAGCAAATTTTTACCCCTCATACATCAGAGTACTCATTTCTAGTGTATATAAAGAACTCAAAAAGCTAACCACCAAAAAAACAAGTAACCCAATCAATAAAGGGGCAAAGGACCCAAACAGACACTTCCCAGAAGAGGATATACAATCCATCGACAAATATATGAAAAAATGTTCTCATCTCTAACAATTAGAGAAATGAAAATCAAAACTATTCTAAAATTTCATGTTATTCCAATTCGAATGGCAGCTTTTATGAAGACAAACAACAATAAGTGTTAGCAAGGATGTGGGGGAAAAGGCACACTCATACATTGCTGGTGGGACTGTAAATTGGTGCAGCCAATATAGAAAGCAGTATAGAGGTTCCTTGGAAAACTGGGAATGGAACCACCATTTGATCCAGCTATCCCTCTCCTTGGTCTGTACCCAAAGGATTTAAAAACAGCATATTGCCCGGACACAGCCACATCAATCTTTATAGTAGAACAATTCACAATAGCTAAACTGTGGAACCAACCTAGATGCCCTTCAGTAGATGAATGGATAAAAAAAAAGTGGTATATATACACATTGGAATATTACTCAGCAATGAAAAAGAATAAAATTGAAGGTCGGTGAGTTGGTGTGGAGTCCGTCTCTGCACGCGTGGTCGTGCTGGGATGGATTCTTCCTCGTCCTCCTCTGCGGCGGGTTTGGGCACAGTGGACCCACAGTTGCAGCATTTCATCGAGGTGGAAACTCAGAAGCAGCGCTTTCAGCAGCTGGTGCACCAGATGACTGAACTGTGTTGGGAGAAGTGCATGGACAAGCCCGGGCCAAAGTTGGACAGTCGGGCTGAGGCCTGTTTTGTGAACTGCATTGAGCGATTCATTGATACGAGCCAATTCATCTTGAATCGACTGGAACAGACCCAGAAATCCAAGCCAGTCTTCTCAGAAAGCCTTTCTGACTGATCTCAGTATTACCTTTTTGGAAAAAGAAGGTAGTTCAAGAAAAGGAACAGCTGTTGAAGGGATGGTTGAAGAAATGGCTATGGGGAATTGACTGGCTCCCACCTTTTGTCCCACTTGGACATCTTGTCATCTGATAATGAACAAAGACCAATTTTCTGGTGTGGGGTTTGAGGATCATATATGTACTTGGTTGTGTTTTTTAATGCTAATCTTGTGAAAATAATTGACAGATGGAAAATTATTATAAGCATATTACTGTATGTGAGACTGTGCTTTTCTCAAGGTCCCCTTAACTGCTTCCTAAGATTTTGATAGTGGAACTGCTTTCTATAACTTGATGGTGGGACCACATAGGTAAAATCTCTTATTTGTGTGGCTTCATTTCACATTTTGGGGGAGATATTTCATAAAGGCAGTAGTGGGAGAATAATAATTTGGCACTTTACTCTGGGTCTTCTTATCTAATATTTGACTATCAGTGCTGGAAAAAAACCTTATGGACGGTTTATTCAGTTACACTTCAGCTTTCTAGGTTGTCTCCCTTCCCTATGATTATTTAAATATATCTAAAGTATGGTCTCAAGGTAGACTAGGCAATCTGAGGATCTAAAGACCTTTAATTATAAAGGAATCTAACCAGTGAACATAATTCTCATTACTAGATAGCATAGAAAAAGGTTAAGTTACCCTGTATATCAGGGTAAAAAAATTTTGCCTAAAAAAATTATAAAGATTTAGGCTAGTCAAAAACTAACAGCAGTTTCAGGTAGAGGTGCATGCCTGATGTTAATCATTATAGGTTCAATTGACTGCAATCTTTTGATCATTGAAATAAAAGCTTCTACTCTGTGAAAAAAAAAAAAGAAAAAGAATAAAATCATGGCATTTCCAGGTAAATAGATGGTGCTGGAGAAGGTAATGCTAAGTGAAGTTAACCAATCCCAGAAAAACAAATGCCAAATGTTTTATCTGATATAAGGAGACTGATTCTTTGTTGGGTTGGGAGGGGGAGCATGGGAGGAATAGATGAACTCTAGATAAGGCAGTGGGGTGGGAGGAAAAGGGAGGAGGCAGGGGGTTAGAAATGATGGTGGAATGTGATGAACATCATTATCCAAAGTACATGTATGAAGACACAAATTGGTGTGAATATACTTTATGTACAACCAGAGATATGAAAGATTGTGCTCTATATGTGTAATAAGAATTGTAATGCATTCCACTGTCAATATATTAAAAAATCAATAAAAAATAATTTGTTAGATATATGTAATTACCAATATTTAAGTGTTTGTGACTTTCAAAACCAAGGGTTTCATGTGGTGTAGAATAGTATTGAGGAGCAAAAATAAATGCTTGTAAATAAACTTCCTAAGTGATTGTACTCATTACTTTAACATATGTGGGATGAGAGTTTGCCTCCACATCTTTCTCAACACTGGATATTGTCATATTTTTATGCTCTTTTTGTACGTAGTGTTACACTTTTTTTTTACTATGAGGCATGTTGAGGTAATTTTGCTCAGTTCTCGCAGTGTTGGGAAGCTGATTTTTTTTTTTAAACTGGAATGTGAATTACTTGGTTGAGTTTAATAAATATTTAATTAACCAATTCTTGGTTTTAGCTTATGGTTATATAAAGATAAGTAAAGTGGAGGAACTCTTACCTCAGTCTATCTCCAAACTTCTGCATTATTTTTTCATTCAAATATAGATTGACTACATGAATTAATTCTAATATCTCTGTTTACTTCTTCGTTTTACTCATTTGTAAAACAGTGGGCTTTGGCTAGTTGGTATCTAGTTTTGCTTTGGCTAGTATTTCTAATTTATTTGTTATTCTTGTTAGTTTTTGAAATTTAGAAATAAGCTACTTTTACTATACTGGTAGTTTTTTGTTTTTCTTTTTTCATCAAAAAAAGTTGGGTTTTGCTTCTGTAAAGTATAACTCAAGTCATTTTTCCAAGGACTTCTCTTAGATGGAATTCTCACTCCAATATTGCTGTATTTTATTTTTAAAAATTCTGAAGATTTTGTTAAACCTATAAACTCAATCCTAATGTATATGACTTATTCTTTCTCAGAGTGAAGATACACAACAGCAAATCATCCGGGAGACTTTCCATTTGGTATCTAAGAGAGATGAAAATGTTTGTAATTTTCTAGAAGGAGGATTGTAAGTAAAGCATATATAGTGTTTCTAATTTTTTAACTATGTAATTGAATATATACTATTTAATAAAATGGGAAAAGATTCCTCATTTTTATCATTTGGTTTAGATAATTGATTACTACCTATATTCGTTATAAGTCTAATTTAAAGAATCTTTTAAGTTGTAAAAAATTTTGTAAGGACATTTTACATAAATTTTATTTTTATGGTAAAAATTGAAACATAGGGAAGTATAAAAAGTTAATTGAGTCTCCCTCTCCCAATCTTAGTCCTTCCCAGTTTTATATATATCCTAGAAAATTCATTTTGCATTTACCAAAAAATTATACTTTTATACCAGCAAACATGCTTATTGGCATGTTGCTTATTTTTGCTTAATATTTTTAAAAACTTTTTATATAAACAAATCTAGAGCAGCCTCATATATTTTATGGCTATAGAGTATTTCTTAGGGTGAACATTAATAAAAATTTGGAGTAAGTCAGGTACAGTGGCTTGGAGGAACGTTGGAACCTGAGGCGGGAGAATCCAAGTTTTAGGGTAGCTTGGACAACCTAGCAAGATCCTGTCTTAAAATAAAAATAATAGGGATAGAGCGGAACACAGTGGTATAGTGCTTTCCTAGCATGCACAAACCCCTGGGTTCAGTTCCCGATTACCCCCCTCCCCCCCAAAATTTAGTTTTATCCTTTATTCTCATATTATAAAAAAGACTAAAGTTTATTTTTCAAATAAATCTATGTGTCTGTCTACATACCTATAGTATAAGTTAGAATTCAGCTGACTTCTCTATTTTTAAAATGAATAAATAAAAATTACTTGTAATTAGCTTTTCAAGTATTATAAATTCTTTTAAATTAATAGATACTATGGAAATAGTTTGCTCATCACTGTTTTTTATAAATATTTCTCTTCCTGTTTATGTAATTAATATACTTAATAATACATTTCTTCCCTGTGGCTCAGGATGCTGAGACAGGAGGATCGCAAGTTCAAAGCCAGCCCTTAGTGAGGATCTTGCTAGGTTGTCCAAGCTACCCTGAAACTTGGATCTTCCTTCCTCAGGTTCCAACGTTCCTCCAAATCACTGTACCTGACTTACTCCAAATTTTTATTAATGTTCACCGTAAGAAGTACTCTATAGCCATTAACATATATGAGGTTACTGTAGATCGCAAGTTTAAAGCCGGCCCTCCACTAAGTTGCCCTAAGCAATTTAGGGAGACCCTATCTTAGAATAAAAAATATAAAGCACTGGGGATATGGCATAATGTTTAAGTATCCCTGGGTTTAAGCCTTGGTATCAAAAAACAAAACAACAAAAACATTTATTGGTTGAGAATTCAAACTAAATGGTGGCTTAGTCTCAGTATGAATATTCACAGATTGATTAGGCAAAACCTAGACTTTTATCTTAGTATATATGATTCATACTGTGAAAAAGTAGTTGGGGTAGTGGAATTCATTCTTATCTAACCAAAAGTTACTTTTATCATGTAGAAAGTTTGCCTGCATTTCTTAAAAGTTTATATCATGCCACACCTAAATATATAATGCATACTTACAATTTGTTAAGTTTTACTGCTAACTTGAAATTTCTGATTTAATGATGGAGATAAAATGTACCTGCTTCCATATTTAAATTTTATTTGTAGTTATTCTCATAAACTTTTGTAGGATTTTGTAGTTTTTGCTATTATTATAATTTGCTCTCATCTCAGCCTCTTAATTTCTCATCTCATAGGAGTAGAAAGCAGATACTGTAACTGAGACAAAGCTGTACACATCTAGCTTAGTCCTAGTTTCATGACTGACAAGCTAATTTCCTCAATCAGCTTGCTCGTATTCTTGGACCTCAGTTTATCTCCTAAAATGAGGCAACTTGGACTACAAATATTTCTAAAATTTTGTGTTTTATTTGCATTCACAGAGCATTCCTATCAGTATTGTACTATAAAGATGAAATTATAGTTTTAAAAGCAAAATATGTACTTACTATATTATTAATTTTGGTTTCTTTTAATAAGATTCATGGCCATTTGGCAACTATGAATCTTCAGGAACTTGGACCTCTTTCAAAGCAAAGCAAAAGAAAAATTTTAGAAAATAACTATACTAATTATTCTAAAGAAATGAAGCCTGCTGTTTGTGTTCTTTTTGTTCCTTTCAGGGAACAGTTGTGGCTATAATCATAAATATAATCTCAGAATTTTTAAAGTAGACTTCTAAATATCTTGTCTAGCATAGAAGGAATTCTTAACTATTTTCAGAGGTCATTTCACCTTTGCTATTAGAGAACACAGGAAACATGTACTTAGGGAAGTCATTTCTACAAAACTCATAAGTTTAATGTTACTAAACACATGCTGTTTTCCTGTATTCTATTTGAATTTTCAGTTAGCTTTGATTACATTTTGCCTTGATTTTTTTTAAATTTGTTAGTGTTAAGAGGTTTTTGAGGAGGTGAGTTTTTTATTGTAAACTTAATTATGATATAAATAAACTATATTTAGAAAAATATCTTGACTGATTCCTGAGTTATTATTTTAAAATGCTGAAATTCTAGTCAATATAATGAAAGTATTTGATGAAAAAATTTATGTATTAGCTTAGTTTTCTGACGTTTGTATTTCAAAACATTGTATTTTTGGAGGAGATTTTGGTTGTAAATCTAAAACTTAAGAAATGTCATTCTTTTTTTTTTTTTCCTAGTTGATAATCAGTCTTAAGCTGTGTAATTTACTGTGACCTATGGAGTTAAATCTAGTAAGCACTGAAAAATGTCCTGTGATCTAATTTCTACCTCCTTCTTTTACCTTACTGTTCACTAATCCTTTCTTGCCCACTGGCCTTCTTTTCTCTTCTCAGAAACATACATTCTTTGTTCTTGATGAAGTGGCCTTTTTATTAGTTGTTACATTAGCTTGAATGCTCATCCCTAAGTTTTTTCATGGCTGGCTGCTAGTCAGTAGATTTCAGCCTA